CAAGAACATACCATTCATCAGTGCACTGAGCTTGTGTACACACATGACATGTAACTTTTTATGGTTCTAGACAAACACACATGCTGTTAGCAAGACAACACTAAAAAAATCTGCATTCAGTGCACTGCCATGTAAGGGAAGTTTCACTGCATGCACTTTCAGGACAGACTGACTGAAGTGAAGGTGACATGGGATGGATCTCTTTCATATTAAAACTTCCAACTTTAGATATTTATCTTAGCCAAACTATAAGTAGTAAAGTGTAAAAAACATTTAAAATTTTGTTCTTTCAATTAAATCTTTCCTCTCCTGCCTAAAATAATAATTTGCTCCTGAGGCTGAGGTTTTGACATGTACATTTTCAGAATTTTTTAATGGATTCTTACCCTTTTTTGCATAAAAAGCTTTAGGAATTTTTAAGTCTCCAACTGGAAAAGCTACAGATACTGTATTATCACAGGCCTCAAGGCTGTCTGTACCATTTATAATCCATCCCTTCATCAGAGAACAATAAAGAAGAACAGATTGGTTTTCTAAGCACAGTTTGTAAGAAGTGTCTCACAGTCTGCTTCTACTTGTCTTCCTGCCAATTTTTCTCCCCAGGAGCTGTGGCGTTCACATTCTTTGCAGCATTTACTACAGAATACTATCTTGTGATGGGGTCAAGCAGCACACTAACTCTTCAGAGTCAGGCTTCTCTCCTTAGACTAACTGAAGTCTTAACAGCACGGGTAATAACAGCTCTTCTTGCCAGAATAGCCTCACTGTGCCCGGTCTCTGAAGAAGGAAAATACAGCACTTCATTTAAATGCAGCGTGTTTCTCTCCACCTCATTTTTTTTTCACACCCACCTACTGCCTCCTCCTTCCTTCTCTCTAAAAATCCCCTACCACCTGAAACCTGCATGCTCATTCATATTTTCTTCCACCCTGTTGTACACATGGAAGGTAGGAAATACATTAGGAAGCATTCACAATGTCAGGTCATGAGATAATGTAGAATATTAGCCACATTTTCCAGATATGGGAAATCCTAATTTACATGTTGCAGTTGTGAGTTCTTACACGTATAAGTTTTATTTGGGTTTACTTACCCAGGCTGACAACCTCCCAGCACCTGAAGTAGAGAAACCTTTTGCCCCTAGAAGCCTTGTATTAATGTGATTTAAAATGCAGCATGTTTACTTTCACCAGGATGCTTGCAAGCTGACTGGTATTTTGTCCATCCTTAAGAAGCATTCACTATCTGGCAGGGTTAAGAATAAAGCTATTTTATGATTTTAGCTATCAGAAAGCTATTTCATATACAGCTCTTCCTCATTGGGATAATTTCCAGCTTTGTACCATGCCTTTGAATGGCTGATTACAGGATCTCTGCTCTACACAAAGACAACCTCCGGGGCCTACACACTGTTCCAGATCACAGGTTTGCTCTAACAGGCAGCCTGATGCTCCAAAACAAACTGAATTGGAGAAATATTTCTGCTTTGTTACAAGGGTGCAGACCAACTCAAGCATCTTCCTCTGCATGGCTACCCTTGAGCCATGGAAGACAGCACACTACCTCAGCTTTTGGAAGCAGAGGGAAGTCCCCCAGCTACCACTGCAGGCTGAAGACAACTCTAGGTTTCCCAGAAAGCAATTCCTTCAGCTTGTGTGCACATCACAAGAAACAGATTAAACTGATATCTGAGGAAGCAAGACTGAAGGGCAACATTTTAGATACTATCTCAAAACTAAAGTTTCACTCTCTCCAAAATTCAAAGGAGGAGGGAACATCCCTTTAAAACACTACTGAAACTCATCATGTTCACAAGGGTATCTGCACAGAGGGTCTAGCATCCCCTGAAAACAGCTGCCTTCCTGATAAGCTCACATCCACCTTGCAACACAGAAATACGGTACATCTTAAACCCTGAGGAACTCAGATAATACCATGGGTTCCCTACAAAGAGCTAAGACTAATGCTGTGCACTAATACAGTGCAGCTGGCCGAAAAGGCAGGATGCCA